ATCCAGAAGCTGCGTGAGAGGGGGCTGGAGTTCCTGTCTGTGCCAGATACTTACTACGACCAGCTGCGGGAGAAGCTAAAGTCCTCCAAAGTCAAGATAGCAGAGGACATGAATGTGTTGCAGGAGTTGAAGATCCTTGTTGACTATGACGATGATGGCTACCTGTTGCAGATCTTCACGAAGAACATGCAGGACCGACCCACTCTGTTCCTAGAGGTCATACAGAGACGTAACCACAATGTGAGCTCATGATAATCTTCCTTGTGTCTAGTTACTAGTGTACATGGTTAAGTTAACAAAGTTACCAATGGTTCCCATTGCTTTGTAAAAACTTAAATGGCTCGGAAACTTCCAACCAAATTAGAGCGACTTTCCCGTTTCACTCGGTTCTGGCAGGGAATTTAGAAGACTTATAAAATATTGTCAAGCGTTTTTGCACATGGAGTTCATATAATCTTGCTGGCTGGGGATCTGGTCAACATCATAAAGTAATTAGTCATTAATTTTCTGCTGTTTAAATAGCTGCTGAGGAGTAAAAACTGTTATATATTCACGAGTATGATTGGGTTTTAAATCACTTTGGGGTTTAGTACCTAATAGCTCGAGATACTTATTTATTCCAAGACTTTCCATTTAGTACATGTTATGACTCTTTGTTAACAGGGGTTCGGCGCCGGAAACTTCAAGGCGCTCTTTGAAGCCATAGAGCTGGATCAAGCAGCGCGAGGCAACCTTTGAACACTGGACACCGCAGGAGGCGGTCAGAGGCCCCGCCTTCACCTGATGGTCCATCATCTGATGAACCATGGCTGACTGATGATGGATCTGATGGATCCATCAAATAATCCTCTGACAAGTAACCGACTTCTTCCGTTAGGATAAGCATATTCCATTTAATGTTTTATAGTGTAAAATGCAGAGAATATTGTCCTGACGTGCACATTGTTGCTGGACCTCTGAGGGGCCACACTTTCACCCAAGTAACGCCACAATGTTGTAGAAACTCCCTTTTAACTTTCGTCTTTTCAAATATGTGAACTTGAAGAAATCTTTTAAAGAAAAACGATAAATTATGAACGTAGTAATCATGAATGAAATTTGTACTCTAATTTTATTTGTATAGTATTTGTAGCAGTTTTAATAGTATATTTGCTGAAATATGCTGTATATATATTTTTTAATGTTTAATGCTGGGAATAAAGCATAGTTTTAACTTTACTTGTTTGTCTATACATTTAAAAGGACATTGTTCCATATCGGTTGCGAGAACACTGTACGGGTTGAGTCATGTAGCTTCTGCAGAGTCATAACTTGATAGTTGTAACCATTGACAGCATGACCACAGGGTAGTAAAGGGTGCTAGAGCACACACTACAGCATGACCACAGGGCAGTTTGACTTTGGAGGACAAAAGCAGCAAGATTATATGAACACGTTGCAGGAATGATGAGTCACCACAGCACTTATCATATTATCCTTTATTACCCAATTTCTCGCTTCATGGTATAGGAAGTTATCAGCCTGTATACACAATAGGAGGTGATGCGTTCAAGATATTAAGAACCGATCGTCCATTCCTTGTATAAATATATTAATAGGCTGTAAATATAGTAGATATACTATAATAGTGTGTATAAATATACTAATAGGCCGAAACACACTGCGTATTGGTGGCTGAGTTAGAACACCAATGTTACTGGTAGAACCCAATGTACCTTGTATATAAATAATAGAACATTACCAAATAAAGCAACACCGGCGCATCCCAGTAAGGCTGCAGAGCTTCACACGACCACAGTTGTGGGAACCGACCTGTGAGATTTATATTTAATTTATATGAATTTATATTTACGTTAATTTATATACTTCGATAGCAATTTGTATAATAAGTGGACTGTATTTCTGCAATAATCTCTTTAATCTCACAAAATCGATCCTCTACCACATTAGGGGGTTTATATTAATTTATATATATGCAGCCAATCAAACTACTGTAATAGACTACATACATTGAAGAGGTTCCTATCTTATAGTACAGCAGGTTAGTCCACCAGGTATAACTAGGCTGTAGACTCCACATTTCCTCTTTGAGGTAGCTTCCATCACCCAGTAACTGGTGCACAAAGTCTTGCTTCCTCGTCTTGACCTGTCAAAAGGGCGCTAGCTGTAAAGCCAGATACCTATATATGACAGATATATCGGAGGAAAATACTGTACATGGAACACATAAAGACCTGGCTTAATTACCTTTAGTTTGAGGCTATCTCGTGCTCTAACCGGATAACCCTACCCAATGACATTAATGGCCACTAATGATAGATAATGGGTTTCGGGAAAGAACACTTAACTTGATTGTTGACAGCGTGTTGATAATGGTACACCTTTGGTTTCCATAACACTACGTCCAAGTAAAATTAACAGGAGCCGAATTTGCTCCCGTGAGCCTCTGGTCTTAGTATAAACAATGGCAATGTCTAACACTCCATACTATTGACGCTACTGGCCGACATTGTCCAGATATGATAGGAGCCGAATTTGCTCCACACGTCTCGGAGGTGACACAACAATGGCTGCCCCTCCTTCCTCACTCTGACGCCTAGCTTACATTGTCCAGATGTCAATAAGTGATAGAAGGGTCACATTTACTCTACTTTAATATTGATAATTAAGTTAATTTATATGAGATGTTTTTATGATGGTAAAGTCCAAAGACTAATGTATTTAAGAATAATTCCCACCATAATAGGTGGTGAATTATAATAGTATGTGGTAATGATATCCCGTTTTCTATAGACGGTAATTCCACTACAAGTTACGTTTTCTATGAGTTAATTTATTTATACAACACAGCTATTATCTGTCTGTATGATATATTAAATGGTGTCGGATTTTCCGACAACAGTATAGTCGAGCACTTCACGAGGCGTCATATATGGTATTGTACAGTTAATGTGTACAAATGTCAGCCAGCCAACCTTGTCCCTTGACAGATATCACTTGACCCCCGCCAACCCACGCTCTGCTTGGCGGCCTAAACCATCCTCACTGACCTGTAGTCTTCCTACCATCAAGTGTGTTGCTTTCATTACTGCTGGGATCATCAATCAAACATTTAACATGACCCAACCATCTCTTCATACTCTGCAATTATTCTCGCCATAAATCATTTAATTGCCGAGTCTCTCCCAACAGGACACGTACTATTGATTTTTACTTTCAAACCACACAATCATCTCTGATTCCTACATCATAATGCAGTGACCGATAGTGTAGTGATTAATACACCTGGCTCTCAGATGATTGGCAGAGTTTAATACCGAGATACGGCCAAGTGTTCGGACAAGTTTTATTTCACCCAATTCCTCTGTTCACCTAAAAGTAAATAGACATGGGATTTGCTCAATTTCTGTGGGCTTCATTCTGAGTGTTGATCTTTAGCTAGGGGGGGGGGACCCCTGTCGAGGGTGTAGGTATTTGTCCATTACAACCCGTACGCCGGCAATGCTCAAGCTCTTTCAGAAAGCCCTAGCCAAGGCGAGGGAGCGCATGACAGAGCTCAGGCAAGATAACTGAGAAACTTTTGTTAAGTCTCAACTCTCACACCCCCCTCAGCCAGGCATGGAAGGATATTAAAAGAATTAAAGGCGATAAGATCGGCCAAGTAGCACACCCTCACCCTCTACACAGAGCAAACGAGTTAGTCGATGCTTGGGCAACCATCTCTAGCTTCAATAATCTTCTCCCAGACACACAGTTCAGATTAATGCTAGTTACGGAGATCGAGAAAGGCTCGTTGACTTCATGCTCCACAAGGAAGATGAATGCAACGTGCCATTTACTGAGTTTGAATTACTCGCGGCCATAAACAAAGGCAAAGCCACATCCCCCGGTGAAGATGGTATCACTTATGACATATTGCGTCTGCTCCCTTTAGTACCAGGGAATCCCCTGCTTGAGCTGTATAATATGAGCTATGTTACTGGGGAACTTCCTATCTCTTGGACCAACAGTATAATCATTCCAATTCCCAAGCCAAATCAAGAGAATGCTTTCCGCCCAATTTCCCTTACTAGCTGCATTTGCAAAACATTCGAGAGAATGGTCCTAAACCGTCTCCTCCATAGAATAAGAACCATGCTATCCCCCCAGATATATGGCTTCATGCATGGAAGGAGTGTGCATCATTGCATCACCACCTTTCTTACCCCTGCACACTGAAAAGTCATATACCACCTTCCTAGATCTTAAGTCTGCCTTTGATATTGCAAATAGACATGTTATCTTGAGTGAGCTTGCAAGAATGAATATTGGTGGTCGGCTTCTTTCTTGGATCAGGGGTTTCTTATCCAACAGGAAGTCATCTGTATTGTTCCAGGGGCATAGGAGTGTAACAAGAGACTTTGAACTAGGCACCCCGCAGGGTGGTGTCCTCAGTCCTACCTTATTTAATATCTTAATAAACATGCTGTTAAACTCTGTACCGAGCAAACCCAACGTCCACATCATTAGCTATGCTGATGATATAATGATACCACTGGGTATGCTAACACGCAGAACACTCTTAACTCTGTATTAGACTCGTGTCAGGACCTAGGTTTAATTATCTCGGCAGAGACAACAAAGATACACAATCGGCGCCCACCCAGGCAGGGAGGAGCTGTTCGCAAGATGCAACTGTCTGATGGCTCCCAGCTTGACTATGTAAACAGATTCAAATACCTTGGCCTTGAGGTGCCACTGTATGGTCCTGTTGTATTCAGACTCTGTCGTCAGTATAAAGAGAGGCTTCGAGCTCTCAAGGCTGTTGCAGGTTATCCCTCAGGCTATGGTGCCAATGTCAGCATTGTCAAAATGATGTACCTTGCATACATCAGATCTTTAGTGGATTATGCTGCACCTCTGCTTGTTTTGATGCCTTAAAGAAAGCTTGGAGGGCTTGAAAAATCGCAGAACGAAGCCTTGAGGATAATCCTTGGGTGCCCTCGTACCACAAAGATACTTAATATGAGAAAGGAGCTTAATATTCCGAGCGTTGTTGATCGAGTTACTGAAATTAACTGTCAAATTGGTATAAAAATGCTTAGGCTAACTCATCCTAACCCTTGCACAGAAGCCCTCCAGAATTTCTTTATTGAAGATCAGCATTGTTCCAAATGGATAACTAAATCTGGAACTCAACTCGGAATGTATCTGGTTCATGATTTGTACCAAGAGAAACAACAACGGCACTTTCCTGCACCGTGGGAGGTTACACCCTTTCCAGTTTTAATACCTCCCTTTCCACCCAAGAAGCAAATTAGAGATCAGCCCAAGCTTCGTCTTGAGGCAAAGCTTAGCGGCTTATGCCATATTGATGCTCTGTCCACAGAGCATTCTCTCTCTCAAATCATATACACTGATGGTTCCCTACACCGCCCCACGGGTGCAGCTGGAAGTGCAGTTGTCCTGACAATGGGTGATGGCTTGTACTTTGAGTGGGGAGTCCGTATAAAACAACTGGGCCTCTACCCTTCAGACCGAACTATTTGCCTTGATCCTTGCACTGAAATGTGTACAAGTCTCCAAACTTGATACATTAATTGTAAGTGACTCCTTATCATTCTTAAATGCTCTCAACTCTTTAAGACATAACTGTAACATGCTCGTGTCCGAAGCTAGACACAAATACAACAAAATTATTAATGATGGTAACAGAGTCCATTTCATGTGGTCTCCATCTCATGTTGGCCTCCGAATGTATGATAGAGCTGATAAGTTAGCCAAAGAATCTGCCTTTAAAGGAGCCGTTGAGTGTAACCTGTTACGTACCTCTATAAGATACGTAATTAAATAAATTATATGTACCTTTATAATTGTGTGTAAATTACAAGTATGTATTGATATACTTATATGTTCTATGTAAAATAATTTCATGTTACATTGTTGGCGTTAGGCCCAACGTATCGTGGGAATGATTGTTTTATTTCTTTGTGTACTCAGTTTCCCACGGGAACTAATGATTTATATGTGATCATATGTGGGTAACAGAGGTGAATAATAATTGTGTGAACTGTATCTGGCAAATTGTCGTGGGATAGTTCGTTGCTGGGTGAGCATGCCATCATTCCCTCTTTGTATGTGTATTTTAATTACTATGTAAAGCAATAATTACCTTATTTTGTATACCAATATGTATTGACCATTCATTACGTTAGTTTAAGATTACTCTTGTCAC